ACCCCCACCCCACACATATATACATACATGTCGTATTTCCCACCACACCTGTCATGACCCGTCTCTGCACACCCACCGTCAAAATTACCAAATTGGCCAACCTTGTTCTAAACGAACTTTTGTTTCATTAAGAATAATCAACCAAACAAACAAACAAACAAACAAAGAAACAAACAAACAAACAAACAAAACCCCAATCAAATAAGCGAACAAAAATACCAAGCATTTCCATTAACAGCTGCGGCAACTTCAAGATTTATATTTGAAAGCGTAAATTACGAGAGAGCACTTTTAAAGAAAGCGACTATCCTTGCATTAACCCCTTCACTGCCTTGCCGGACACTGCCTGGACCTCTCTGGTTGGACTGTGAATAGCTGAAGCGAAGTACTGCTTTACATAAATCTCCACGTTTAAAATAACAGATTCATTTTTATTTGATCTCAAAAACGTTCATGGCTTTATTATACTTTATATTCTTTAATTAATGATTTCACCTCGACATTTCATTCTCGTATCGCCAGCCTATCCACCATCAGCTCACTGTCGCTTATTTTGTGGGGTCCAGAGTGTTGGCAGTCAGTGAGTGGGCTGTCAGCCAAGAGGAGACAACAACGTTACTTAAACCTCTTAATTAAAAAAAAAATTACTCTAGCAAATAGATGAACAATAAAACAAAATTAAATTAAATTAAAATTGATTAAAATATATAAAAAATTAAAACCAAATAAACGTACAGATTTAAAGGTTACATTTTTTTCTTCTAAATACAACCAAATGTAGTGGTTTAAGAACTTGGGATTTGATGGGTAAAGAGTTGATAGAAAAAAAGGAACACTCACTATTTAATTGTTCCGTGCACGTCGTTTGCTCCTTTGTACGATTTCAAAATTTTCACTAGTTCGAAATTGTTCTTGAGGGGAAACTCCTGTCCCGTGAGGTTGATGAAGTACTTCCATTTCTTGTGTCTCCAGAGATCCTGCAAGCAGATTAGTTCGGCTTCCAGGACCGTGAAGTGTCCCCACTGGACATTCACCCTTCTGGAAGAGATGAAGGCGTTGGGCAGACAAGAGACCACCGACGTCAGAGCGCCCATTGTCCTGGAAGTTGCGCTGATGTCTACGTGAATACAGTACACGTTCTGAACTCTGTAGATGGACCGCAAAAGTCTCAGGGCGGTCTCGGTGTCGGTGTAAGCCACGAGTGAATAAGCTATTGGGAACTCTTCTTCTTCCTTCGATAAAACGTCAGTTATAAAACCATATTCTTTCAAGAAATGGGAGCAGTTCTGCGTCTGGTTCATTAAGTGAATGTTAATGTTGAAGTTTTTGTCCCTCGTATCGGCCAGATTTTTCGCCACAGAAATAGCCTCCGCCATTGCCGTTTTGTTGTTGCGTATGACGGCTGCGCAATCAACTCGTCGCTCTCTGTGCATGTTGGAAATCTGCTCTAGTCTTGAGGCAACCAGCTCATTGACGCGCCAATCTGAGGGATGTCCCGCAGGAACTTTCGTTGGCTTCTGGGACGGTCGTAGATGATCCAAAGCTCCTGTTCTATTTTCATTGTCGGCAAGATCCGTGTAGGTGTTGATGGTAAGGGATCTGTGAATCCCGTGCGTTGTAAAAAGTTGTGGTTTGAACGTGGTCTGAAGCACAAGGCCGAAGGTACATAGACACACCAGGAGAAGGGTGCAGGTCCTGAGGCACTTCATTGCTGAAATTGTAACAGGAAAACGGCTGTTGTTGTTGTTGTTGTTGTTGCTGATGTTGTTGCAGTTATTTTAGTAGTTGTTGTTGTTGTTGTTGTTGTTGCTGCTGCTTCTGTTGTTGTTGCTGCTGCTGTTGTTGTTGCTGTTATTTTAGTTGTTGTTGTTTGTGTTGTGGCTGTTGTTGTTGCTGTTATTTTAGTTGTTGTTGTTGGTGTTGTTGCTTCTGCTTCAGTTATTGTTGTTGTTGTTGCCGTTTTAGTTGTTGTTGCTGCTGTTTTAGTTGTTGTTGTTTTTGTTGTTGTTGTTGTTGTTGTTGTTGTTTCTGTTGTTGTCGTTTCAGTTGTTGCTGTTGTTGCGATTAACGCACAATTAAACTTACAATGTGATAAACATTTCAGAGTCAAGACCCAAGTTCAAGATGTTTTTTATTTACTTGAAAAGAAACTCTCTCTCCACCTCCGCCTCGTTTTATAAGCAGTAATGAGGTTTCATTATATGCATGAATATGTAGGCTATACAATTATTTGTAAAAAATTTATAACAGCCAATTTCAATTTTCCTAAAGCTGTCAAATGAATTTATTTCAGTCTGTGCATTTTTGTTGAATGGTCACTGAATAGCTTAATGGGATAGACACACACACACACACACACACACA